ATACTCTTAGAGGCTTTGTAGACAGAGGTTCATTGTGTACAGTATGTCAGAGGCCTTGACGGCCCATATGTATTCATGTTTTAAGAAAGATGGTTCATTGATACAGTAATTTCCCACTAATAGTTATTCATTAGGAGTTGTGGCCATGTTAGCCCAGCTACCAATGATAGTACGATAAGAAAGATATGTTACGTTGGTACTCGGTTGAGTAAGGCACCGGGTGCCCGTCGTGACCCTTTGTTTTGTGTCAGGACAATCTCTAGCTACCCGATTACTATCTTTAAGTTATTTACCTAAAGCGCACTAATTCAACTCTTCTTCATACCCTATATGTGTCTACCCTCCCCATGCCTATTGTCCAGGAGGTGTTGGACAAGTATAAAGGGTAGTTCTAGACTCATCCTATGCTGCTCAAAATTAAAAGATTAGGCGCCAAAGAGTTTAAACATATAAGACTTCACAGTTAGCATAAAAGGGCTCATGATTACCTCCACAAGTAAATTCACATAAGTATTCAAATTATTACTAATTAAACGGGTCTTAAAGAGGTGGTAGAATTAAAGGATAGCTTAACGAATTATCCTATGAATATGATTTCTAATTGTGGAGGCATGTTGGACAATTATTAGTTAACATGTATCATAGAATAAATGGATTTAGACCTAGAACATGATTTCTAAGTAAAGCTGTAAGTGGCCAATCGTGATTGTGAAGGAATATGAACCAATTAGATGTTAAGCCTATACGCATGATTTCCGCGTGGATATCATATAGGCAAGCAGACTTCATTGTTAAATTCTTTAGGCATGATCTCTAGGTGATTCCAATCTTAGATTATTAGGTTATGCAGTGGTCAAGTGATATAGGTCATATATTACAATCCTATAGACATGATTTCTAGGTGTGAGGCACTATGAACATAGTTCTTAATACATGATAGCACAAAAAATTGGATTATTTAATAAGAAACCTATAGGCATGATTGCTAAGTGTGGAGTCCTAAGACATGATTTCTAAGTAAAGTAAAGTAGTAGAGTAGTGTAGAGTATGTCCTATAGGGATGGGTTCTAATCGTAAAGACTTAAGCACATAATATCTGGACAGTGGTAAGGATAAATGAACGAATTAGTGCATAAGAGACCTTATAGGCATGTTTCTAGGTGATATTGTTGGTTCATTATCCTATTAGACAAATTATATAGGCAGTGTCTAATTTGTACTAGTTAATCATAGGCTTATGGTTTCTAGGTGAAACGGGCAATAGATAGATTTCCTGTGGGTATGGTTTGCTAATAGCAAGCATCACATAGGAAATTAAACATGATTTATGATGACAAGTAGCAGACAAGGATGTTTAAACCTATAGGCATATTGTCTATCCTGTTATGCGAGAATTAAACTATCCCAAGCTGCCCTTTTAACTATTATCCGCATTATCGTTATTATAGACCAAGATAATAATTAAAAACCCAATAGGAAAGCTAGAAATACAGTGGTCAGAGTCCCAAAGAGATAGTAATGAGATATAGTGTGAACCCAAGTACATATGGGCCTTCAGAGTTTCCTAGAACACGAATGAGGCCCTTAAATTGCACCACAATTCAGCAGTAGTGAAAAGAAGCCCAATCGAAGGTAATATTCGACTAATCTTGAAGGCATGGCTTACCAAACCATGTGCTTGACAAGTTAAGGAAGTAAGAGCGACTGGACATACACCCCTAGAGGCAGACTCTCTAAGTGCTCATGTTCAGTGTCTATTATAGCAAATAACTATCCGACATGGTGCAAACAAGAAGGATTTCGTACCAAACAATACAGGTAACAAGTTGAAACATGAAGAACACTAAACCATAATTGATCAATCTTGCCTAAACAATTAGCTAAAGTTCATGAACAGGTTCGCTGTAACCAAGAAAAGAGAAGGATTTAAAGAAGCCTGAATACCCATAACTTAGGCCTCCAATTTAAGGCGCCACTTGTGAGAAAGAACAGTAGGAGCAACAATTAACAAATAATGGCAAAGAACACAAGTGAGGTCTCCTAACAAGTAACATAAAACCATAGTCCCTACTCTATTGGTCCTAATCAACTCCAATTGCCTCCTAAATGTAATAGCATGGCATAACAGACCCCGAAACGACAAAATAAATATTCTAATGGTAATCATACTTGGTCAATTAGTTAAGTCCAACTGCATAGAAAAGCACCACACGGTCATAATTCAACAGAAACATTAGTAGTGAAGGTACATTAGTAGTAACACCTTCATAAGAATGATACAGTGACAAGAATTCCCTTATAAGCAGGTTTTGACTACAAAATCAAGACTTAGAACATAACATGTAAAGCCATAAATGGTAACTAACAGATAATTGTGAGAATAGAAATTACAGATACTAACCAGACATATCAGCAACAAAGCAAGAAATAGAGATTAAAAGAATCCCAAATAGTATCTCTGGGACCCCGAAGAGTTCACAAGGACCATTTAGGGTCCCGTGCAGTGCTTATGCTAGGAAAAGGGCTAAATAATCGATATCTGGTGGCCTTGGCTTTTAGCCAGCCACAAAACAACCAAGAAATAATAAAACCAAGTAGAACCAAGAAAACATAGAACACAGAATAAGATATGCGAGTTATGAATGTGAGAGTATGAGTGACCTAGGTCTTCCTCTAGGGGAAATTAGGAGGGTTTTATATAGAACCAATAGCAGATGAATAAAATAAGGAAAGAATCAAAACCATGCAAACCTAATCGAAGCCGAATTTAGGGCACATCTCACACAAACCCCAATCACGAAGAAACCATAGGAGACATGCCAAAACGGGAAGATATTCTCTTTTCCCAGATGTATAAAGCCAAAATTGCATCCAAATACCTAAGGTCTTGACTATGTCCACCCTATTTAGGAGAATCACACTTGATATAGATGGACTTGTAACAAAAATTACCATAATTGAGTGAGTGAGAGAGAAACAAGGTAAGTGAGACCACGTATGAACGCTTATAAGGAAAGAGGTGAGGAAAAATCTTCAGGGTTGGCTAGGGTTTAGCCTTAGAGAGAAGGAAGCGTGTGAGGGTGGCGGTGAGTGGGTGAATCGGATTATAGTTTAGGTTCTGGTGAGATAAAAGACGAGGATGGGCTATAATCCATTGATCTTTTGAGATCAACGGTTGGGATAAAAAAACCCGGCTCGGGTATAGAAGGTGTAGGGCGGATTAGTGGGTGGTTCGTCCTGGGTCTGGGAGAGTGGGCTTTTGGTATTGGGATTAGCTTTGGACCAAATTTGGTCTGAAATTGAGCCTTGTGTTTGGCCAAAAATTAAACATATAAAATTAATCAAAATATTTTATAAAAATGGCAAACAAAAGGATAAAATTGAAATTAAAACTTGTCATCACCCAACTTTCCCTCCGTTTGGGTATCGTGATGGCACCTAGTCGTAGGGATTAGGTAAGCCTAACTCACGCTGAAATATCACAATAATAAATGAAACTTAATAGTCTTGAAGTAGAAATCTCTACAAAATTTATAATTCCCAAAACCCGGTAGTACAAGTCATAAGCTCTACAGAGTTTCACTACAACTTCTAAACACAACCGTATGGAAATAAGTAAAACAATGTGAATATAAAATAGGAAGGTGACTCGGAAGCCTGCGAACGCAGCAGCAGAGCTACCTTGAGTCTCCTCGGCAAGAATCCGCGCAGCTACTAGCGAACAATACCTGGATTTGCACAAAAAAATATGCAGAAGTGTAGTATGAGCACACCACAGCAGTGCCCAGTAAGTATCAAGACTAATCTCGGTGGAGTAATGACGAGGAACAGTCAAGACACCTACTGGTCTAATATACAGAACAAGTATAAGTATAGAAACAACCGAACAGGATATCTGTATAAAGACTAAGCGATATTGCTAACAATACAGTAACTACAATAAGGAAAGAAAACAACAAGTAACAACTGAACACCATAATAAAGCTCATAAAGGTGAACAAAAATACAACCCAAATTCGAAAATCACAAATACAGTAAGGACAAGTCATAACTTAGCAACTACGGCAGCTTTCACATTAGATCATAGCCAACAACTTCAATCAATTAGTCAAATCTTTCAGTTGATAAAAACATTTCGAATTATACTTCCTTCAAGTAAATATTCATCCAAAATAGTTCTCTAAAAATGAATACCTTTCGAATATAACCCTTTCAAATAAATATCCCTCGAATATAAGTCACCCTGTCACACCTCATCTCATGATCATAGAATACGGGTCTCAATACCTGAACCCTAACACTTGGCATCCTGTGCCCTCATCACACCTCATAATCATAGTGACAACTCACGTGCCCAAAAGAGTCATTCTCACATGGAAGGAAAATAAACAAGGGTGTGCGTCTATACTCGGAAATCTCAAGGAGCCTCCTATCCGATAAGGGTGCTTAGCCACGTGTATGCTTGTGCAAGTGTCCTAACATAGTTCATGCCAGCTAGTAAGCATAAGGACAAGAACAGACAACACATATACTGTTTACACAGGGATAGGATCAATGAAAACAACAACTCAGAACACAGTGATAATAACAGGGGATCTCCCAGGATACCGTACCGTCACTACTAGAAAATGGGCCTATGGCAACAGTTTGTTTGGCAACGTTTGGGAAACCGTTGCCATAGTACATCTATCGCAACGGTTACAACCGTTGCAATATGGTTTGGATTCTATCGGTGCATTTTAGCTATCAAACCGTTCCAGTTGGTGTTAAACCGTTTCCATAGGGGAGTATTGGCAACAGTATTTTAACCGTCCCAATAGAGCTATCTTTGGCCACCGTCCCAATAGAGCTATCTTTGGCCACGGTTTTTTAGAAAGTAAAGCTATTGCAACGGTTAGTAATTCCCTCCTTACTTTTTCACAAAATTTTCCGAAACCCGCCAAACCTTAATAGTATACAATATATAAATATTAAATTTTTCCTCTTTTCCCAATAAACACACAGCCCCAAGGTTTTCAAAGGCAAAAATCCCTAATCGATAACATCTATACGGACTATACCCATAAAATTTCTCTTAGGCAAAGAAACATCCTAATAGATAATCTTACCAAATTTTTTCTTCTTAATTCTTTGCTCCTTCTCGCACTTAGTGGTCCCTTTGCAAGGGTAGCGTTCCTTTCAAACTTTAATTTCCAGGTTTTCGCCTCTTATCCACAACTATGCTCTCCGACGCACTCTTCGATTTGTTCGTTTTTAGTATGTGTTACTTTTTGACTGTAGTAAATTAGTGTTTGAATGCGATAGTTTTGCAGCTTCTCCTACTCGATTTCAGTTTAATTATGAATTTGTGTTTGCTTTATCCAAGCATTTAGGGTAGAGAAGTGAAAAGCTGTTTCCTTTTTCTTCTTCGGTATTTTAGGTCTTTTTTGGGTATTCTTTCAAAGAATTTTGGGCATCTAGTCTTGCCACAGGGGCGACTTTCTTGTGGTAGTAATTGCGAATGAGATTAAGGAATTTGAGCGCTGATGTAGCTAAGAGCCACCTTCATAGTCAATTCATTAGGGTTAGAACTGAATGTTGTATTACCAATTTGATATACTTGCCTGATGAAATTGACTAGATTTTATATTATTGTCTGGTATAATTCGGTGTAGATTAATTGATAGTCGTATTGTCATAATTTAATTTGGCTATAAATTAGTGGCCTGCTTGTAGGATTCCTAACAAATGTTATGTAGCTTTATGTGTTAAACTTCCGTTTCATTTGGAGTGAAAACACTTACTAAGTAAATTGTCGAAGAAGATGTAACAAGGAGCAAAACACAAGAATAAAAATAAGAGAGTAGAATATAGCTAGAAAATGTTAAAGCGATGTGAAAATTTTCTATTTTTGTGGATGCCGGTGCCACAATTGGACATGATGCATTTCTTTTGGGGTGATGGTTGTGCAATAAGTATAGTGTATAGATCTCAAGAAACTTTAAAATGCTTCAAAACTATCATTTTAATCCAAATTCAACTACTAAATGTTGCTCCTGAAGCTTTGATTGATCAGTCAGAGTGTTCTTAAATGTCATTGATCTTTCTGGATTTTCTATGGGAGACAGAAAAGAAAAAAGGCCAAATAGGACTGAATTATTGTTTGAATTGCTCGTTTCATACTAACAAACAAAAATGCTTTTTATTTTATATTAAATAAATAAAAAGACCATTGTTAATTCCTTCTCTCTCTCTTGATCTAAAAGGTTCACTCTTCATTATCTTCTTATTATCCATGGTATCTACTAGTATTTGTAATCACTACTTCATTGATCTTTTATATTTTCTGAGATTGTAAAATATTTTGCCCAAGGATTCCTAATGTTCAAATGGTTAAATAAGTCCTATTTCTCTTTATTTTTCCAGTTTATGATTTTGACAAAAGTGTTTGTTGTAGCTCAATTTTTAGTGAGAAACAAGTCATCTGCCATGTAAGCATCTTATGTTTAGTTGACGCAGTTTGATTATAGGGCAGGTGTTCAATAGGTCATAGGCTTAAATTAAGTTTCTAGATGAAAAACTCGGACAAATTTAAGGGGGTCCATGCATAAAGTAACAGTAATTATACTCTATATTATCCTTTTCATATGGTTTATGTTCTTTTTCTTTAGTAATACATTTTGATTTACACTTTTTTTGATTTTAACATCTCACTTTGCCGTTAATGACATATTTTTATTATAACTTTTTGGAGAAAGATGCTCTACCAGGTATATTGAAAACCACTAGATTCTAAGGCTACTTTTGGTTGTTTATATGCCCTTAGCTTGTTTCAATGATCATTGCTCATTTTTTAAGTTTTGTACGCATCTAAACACTGACATACCAAAAAATAAAAAACAAGCAGAGTAATAATAGTAGTATTAGTAGCAGTAGACACAAAAGTTCAAAAAAATCCCAACTTACAAAGAGCTTTCTACCATTTTAAGCTCTTCTCTGTTACTAACAGATTCATGACTTGGATAAAGAAACTAAGACCACAAATAGAAAATAATTATGTATAAAACATCATATAGATATAAACTGAGATGGGAAAATATGTTGGTTGATAAAAGTTATCTCAAATCGATATGGAAAACCAGCTTTAATATTTAATTTAGCAGTCCAAATAGTTTCCTATATGATCAGGTACCTTTACTACTAATATCACTAGTCAGTATTTTGATCGTCATAGTATCATTTCAATTGGCTGAGTATAAAAGGCTTTATGTGGAGATATAATTAGTAAAATTGTATGACGTTTCTAATTTAAAGTCTGTCCATATCATTTCTTTGATCTTAATCATTGATTCAATTTTATAAACTTGATCTCTCTTCTCTTGAATTTTGTCTGTAGGCTGAAATGAAGAAGATACAATCAACACAACAAAGTGAAGATGTCGGTCAATCAGTTGATGCATTTGCATCAGTCATAGCACCTGAGAATCCACGCCGCGTAAAATTGTATGGATGTGGGGTTTCAAAGACCGCCTTAAAAAGTGGGAGATATTAGACCCTCTTTAAGTTCTATAAATGAGATGATGTAGCAAAAAATAGAAGAAATAGAATATAGGATTCATCAAAGAATGCAGAAAAAGTTCAATGCACAAAAGGATGCTATGGAAAGAGAACTACGCTTAACGTCGTCGCGCAACTTCAGCATCTGAACCAAGGAGTACGGTTTGATACTAACATGTTCGCTTTCGGTGCTCGTTCACCTGGATAAACTTACTCTGCACAACAAGCTGCTATTAAACTAATCAATCTTCTAGCTACTGGTAGTAACGATCTGGTTAGTACTTACTCAAAATGTTAAACCTCTTCTTCTCTTTCTTATTCTTCTCCTTCATTCTGCTATTTCTTCTACCACTGCACTTTATCTGTGTTCATAAATTTTTTAGTTCTTGTTCTCTCTCTCATGCAATTGAGTGGTTTCGCTTCATGCACACACCTAGCTGTGTAGTTTTCACAGATAATCTTGATCTTTTCTTCACTTTGCCTTGATAATTTTGTCATTATAGTTCTTTTACCACTTCTCTTTTGGATTTTTGTTGATGTATAGTTCTTTGGTTACCTAACCAGTTTTGTTATTGTGATGCAAAACTTTTTGTGTCGCCTTGCCGACATTATTATTGTGAGTTTTAAACAAAACTTCATATTAGTGATCCAACAGAAAACTTGTAAGGTCTGGAGACCTATGAGTTTTAAACTTTTAGCATTTTGAATAGCTATGCTCAAAGTTAATAGTTCCAGAAGATTTACTAATATGTCACATTTCATATTGTTTTTAAGGAAAATTTAACAAAATGCCCTGAGATCAGAGAAAGATACTTATTTAGATATACACTTTGCTTTACTTCAATGATATTTTTATATTCACAGATTATCCAATTTTAATTGTGGAAAATTTCTTAGATTCGCCGGGCTTTTCCCTTATTTGGTTAGTCTTAATTCTTTTTTGAATTTGTTTAGTCTAGTGTATATAAATATTTTATACACAGTAGCAGTTTCACTTTAATTTTGGTGATCACTTTAATATTTTTAGTGTAACTTTAGTGTATGGAGGGTTTATATTGGCTATATCGAATTTAAACAGAATAGGATTTTGCACATATAAGAAATACGTGCAGCAACATAACTAGTAATATCTAACCAATCCTCAGGATTAATTATTTGTGTTGTTTGTACCCCCATGCTTACCATGTGCACTTAATTTTTTGGTTTGTCAAGTCTAAGATGAATATTTTTTTTCTAATGATCATGTTCAATTACATTTTTACTGCCTACTTATTTAGCATTGTCGAGTGGCTCATCCATTCAGTTTCTCATTGAGCAGCCAAGTACAGAAAAAGTTGCTATTGAATCCTGCCACAGTGGGCAGCTGTTATGCACTTTGTTCACAAGCTACTTAACTCAATTCAACAAAATGCAAAAGGTGTCAATTTTTAGGACATTAGACTGGTGTTGAGCTTACTTATCTATTGCTTTCACCTGGTGAGACTTATACACGGTTTGCTCTAGTGATAATTGTCTTCTGTTTATGAATTGTGAGGACAATGCTTGAACTGCCAGAGTCATTTATGATGGAACTGGAAAGGATTGTGATTTTCCCCTTTAACACTCATTTTATGTCTTTTCCTTTTATGCATGCTTGAATTGTCAATTAGTGTTGGAAGGTAATGACTTTGTTTATCCTTTTTTGTAGGTGGAGAAATGATGAAAAGAAAGTTGAAAGCGATGATGTTCTAGACTTCACTTAAGAAGGTTTTTAAATTATTGCTGAAACTTTAGATGTTCTAGGAATCTTTTGTTAGCATACATTTTGAAACTTTTGTAAAATTTATGCAGCTTGGGTTAGAGGCGCATTTTGCTTTTATGGATATTACTGTATAGCTTGTTGGACAATTAATTTGGAATGTGAATGTTAATGAATAGTTTCATTTTGAGAATTATATAAATTCTAGTATTTATTGTTTCAATTAAGTTGTTACATTAGCCTATCAGAACCGTTGCAATAGGTCACAAGATGTGTTTCAGTATATAATGTAAATTGTTGCAATAGGTCATGAAAACCGTTCCGATAGGATCTTTAAACCGACGCAATAGGTCATGAAAACCGTTCCGATAGTTTTTGCTCAATTGTAAGAAACTATAGCAATAGGGAAAAACTGTTACTATAGCATAAGAAAACCGTTGTAGTTCCTTTAAATAGACGTTGCCATAGCTTACATAACCGTTGCATTAAATCAAATGGTAACGGTTTTGAACCGTTATAGTAGAATACAAATACTCGTTGCATAAGAAAGAGGAATAACTGTTGCGATAGATGGTACTATAGCAACGACTATAGCAACCGTTACAAGAATCGTTACGAGCTATTGGCACGCGACCAGATGGAACGGTCACCAAACCGTTACAATATGGCTATTGGAACTGTTTGTGTGGCTGTTGCAACGGTTTTCCCTGAGTTGCCATAGCTCGATTTTCTAGTAGTGCGTAGTCTCAAACGTAAATGTACAGAGGATCTCCTGGGATACCGTACCGTAGTACAAATCATAAATGTGCAAGGGGATCTCCCGGAATATCGTTCCGTAGTCCCAAAGTAAATATCCAGTACAGGGGAATCTCCCGAGTGCAGTCCCGTAGTCCCAAAAGTAAACGTGCAGGGGGATCTCCCGGAATGCCGATCCGTAATCCCAAAGTAAACATGCAGGGGGATCTCCCGGGATATCGTCCCGTAGTCCCAAAGTAAATACGCAGCGCAACCAACAGGAATAGTAGTCACAACACAACAGAAAGCTCGTACATCACCACGATACATATAACAACAACAAAAATGACAATAATACAAGGTAAGACAAGTAATCAACTTAAGGACTGTAAATCACAAGGAAACGGTAGAACCAACTCACAAGGAATAACCACAGAAAAGAATGCTGGCATAAAGGAAACAGTTCAACACGGGAAAACTGACGCATATCGACGAACCCACAATATATAAGTCAATAACAAGGAAAATCAACGCGAGTCAAGTAGTCCCAAATAAGGGCAAGTCAACAAAGATATAGGTTATCTAACTCCTTTTAAGGTTGGACTATTTTGAGGATATTCGACAATTCAATTAGGGAAAGATGATCTTTAGCTTCACCTTAAGACTAAAGAAAATTTCAGGAAGGATAATAATGATTCTCAAATAAGACAAACAGCTTTGGAAAGACAGCATGACAATAGGAGAGGCGAAATTCTTCAATTAAATCAAATAGGAGTCAGTTAAGCAATAAGGATGAATCATGAAGCAACTATTTCCAATCAAGCATGTAGATGTGAATCTAGTAAATAGGAAACTCAGTCATGTCAAGAACACATTCATACATAGTGAGTATAAGGACCTAAGAACTCTAAAAGACCAATTTTTCACAGATAAGTCCGAGCACACACTCGTCACCTCGCGTACACGAACTACAATCAACATAGAAGCCTCAAATCCTAGGGGGAAGTCCCCCACACATGGTTAGACAAGATACTTACCTCAAAGACGACACACCGATACTCTAAAATGCACTTCTCGGGTGAAAAGATCTTCGAACGGCTCAAATCTAACCAAATTAACTTCAAAGCACAAATAAAACACCTAAGAAACTATTCCGTATCATAAAGTCTTAATCTTTAACAAAATCCAAAAAATTGGTCCAAAAGTCGACCCTTGGGCCCGCACCTCGGAACCCAACAAATTTTACAAAAAATCGAATACCCATTCCGATATGAGTTCAACCATATAAAATTTATCAAATTTCGATACCATTTGGTCCCTCAAATCATGATTTTTCATTATAGAAATTTCCTTCAAAAACTCACATTTCCCTCAGCCCAAAGCACAAATTAAAAGCTAAAAATGTAGATAGATTCATGGAATATCTTAGATTCTAGGTGAAGAATACTTACCCAATCGATTTACTTGAAAAACCCCAAAAGAAGCTCCCAAATCCGAAGTTAAAACTCAAAATATGAAGAAAATGGCTAACCCTCGATATAGAAGGATTCTGCTAGGACTTCCGCATCTGCAGTCAAGAAATCGCATTTGCGGGATCGCATCTGCAAGAAAGGCGCATCTTCGAACTTTGGCTACTTGGCCTGGGACCGCATCTGCGGAAATTAACTGCACCAGCGGCACCGCAGGAGCGAAAAGTTGAGCCACAAAAGCGAGAAATTACCCAGGCCTGCATGACTGCAGAAGCGGCCGGGCTCACGCAGAAGCGGAGCCGCACCTGCGCTCCAAGGTCGCAGGTGCGAAAACACCAGAATCAGACCTTTTTAAAACTATGCAAAACGTCCGAACCTCGTCCGAAACACGCCCGAGGCCCCCGGGACCCCGTCTAAACACACAAGCAAGTGTTATAACCCTAAACGGACTCGCTCGAGGTCTCAAATCACATCAAATAACGCCAAAACGACGAATCACACCATGAATCGAACTTAGGAACTTTCAAATCTTCCAACTTTGAAAACTCGTGCCGAACCCAATCAAATCAACCCGGAATGACGCCAAATTTTGCAGACAAGTCCAAAATGACATAACGGAACTGCTCTAGCTCTCAGAATCGCATTCCGACCCCGATATCGCAAAAGTCAACTATGGGTCAAATTTATCCATTTTCTAAACCTCAACTTTTCCAACTTTCGCCGAAACGCCTCAAATTACCCTACGGACCTCCAAATCTGAATTCGGATGCGCGCCTAAGTCCAAAATCACCATACGGAGCTGTTAAGATTACCCAAAACCCATTCTGAGGCCGTTTACTTAAAAGTCAAATTCTGGTCAAATTCTTACTGCTTAAACTCCCAAAACTAGATTCTTTCTTCCAATTTGACTCTGAATCATCCGTTAACTAAATTCCATTATGCACGCAAGTCGATACTCATATTATGAAGCTGTTCTAGACCTTACGCCGCTGAACGGAGCTTAAATTCTCAAAATGACCAGCCGGGTCGTTACATCCTCCCCCTCTTAAAACCATCGTTCGTCCTCGAACGTGCCAAGATTCGCCTCGAAGTCCTCAAATCATTGAATGCCCACTTTTAGCATACACCCGCGGGTGATCCCACGTCACCCCAATCCACATAAATCTGACAACACCATCTCGACTTAAACTTAGCCTTTCTAGCAATAACAATAAGCCTTAGAGCCAAAATTCCTATCTCCCCTTCATTTCCAAGAGACCCAATTCTAAATCTATATCCGGTATCAGTTTGAACTAGCTGCAACCACTATGCCTACAACCACACAGTACGACCACACAATATACACACCACACATAGGCCTATAATAGCATTCCTGATCACAATACCTACCAGAAATCAAATTCCGCACTGGCTACTAGCCTCATATCTGATAGGACTTTGTTTCAAACCTCCATAACACTGAAAATGATGCAAGAAACACGATGGCCTCATAACAAAACACCCGAATCAACAAGTCACAACTAACACCACCGGGCACACACCTCGCAAGCTTTAACTAAAGAAGCACAAAACAAAAAATGACTGAATATGAAAAGAGAAACACATATGAGAACTATCAAACAAGCCCGACAGGCACAACTCTCTATCAGTACCACCTACAAAATAACATAACAAGAAAAGAATTAAAGCATATGAACAATTCACAAGGATCTTATACTGGTATAACTTCCACCGCGGTACACAACACGGTTCAAACAGATCAAATCACATGAAATCACGAGGGTCTTACCCTCAACTCTGAATCACAAGTAGGATATATATCAAACCAGCCGGAAACTTTCACTAGACCCATTTCCGTCACAAATTACAACAAGTACCGGCTCCCATATCGGTGGAGCATAAAAATCACAGCTCGTAGCAAAAAATACTTAGAAATCACATTAAGCCTACCGAAATGGACAATAGGAATTTACTACTAGTCTCATAACTCTCGATAATGAATAAAAACAGATGGTAGACACGGCTATCACTCATAGAACCTCCCAACAGGGTAACACATAAATAGAGTGCAAATCATGAAACGCACCCATAAGTGGAGCAACAAATAGGGGAACTCACCCCGATAAGCAGAACTGTAATGAACTACGGATGGTGCTCCTCTATAACAAATCAAAATCATACTTGAATGACATCATCTGGCGCAACGGCCTTAAGCCTACTGTATGAAACACATCAACGGGTCGGGCATCCCCTTCTTGGGTGCCCTCTACTCACTTGAATACCTCGTTGTGACACATCTGCCAGAAATCTGGGGAAATCTCTCACCATGTGGCTGGTATCTCCAAACTCAAAGCAACCCCTCTACTGATGTGGTTGTGGGAACTGTGCGCTACGGGTACTTTGAGACCCATGAACACCTGAATCACTGTGTGAAGCCTGAAGCGCAAACTGAACTGGCTGACCCACGAAACCTCCACCATGTCGCACCCTGCCTCCAGAATAAGGGCCAGCAGATCTCTCCGGTCTACAAGGCCCCCTCGCCTCCCTGTACTCTCTCTCTCTCCTGATCTCGTCTGTCCTCTCGCTCCCGGTCCCACATGCCCTCTAACCGACGAGCTATCCCTACCACCCGCTGAAATGAAACATCTGACTCCAACTCTCGAGCCATGCTGAACCGAATATCATGGATGAGCCCCTCAATGAATCCACGGACTCGCTCTCTAACTGTAGCGACCAAGGCAGGTGCATGTCTGGCCAAATTGCTGAATCTGACGGCATAATCTAATACTGACACGGTGCCCTGATGCGACTGCACAAACTCCACGCGCCATGCATCTCGAGGTGACTGAGGTACAAATCTCTCAAAACATCTTTGAAAACTGAACCCATGTAAGTGA